AAAAAAAATATCTTAATGGCATAAAAATAGTCTTTATTTTCTTCACGCAAAATCTAAATATAATTCTTTATTTTCATAACAATAAAATCTTCGCTGATTGTTATTATAAAAAAAAAAACATATTAATGGCATAAAAATAGTCTTTATTTTCTTCTCCTTTTTTCTTTAGATTTTGGCTGAAATACATGTTTTAGTGGGATTTACCGAAATGGATAGCTCAAATAAAAATACATTTTTTTGTTAGTCTCAGTCTGCTTGTGTCTGCAAATGTTTTGCACGTACCAGCTTGCCACAGAGAATCCCACAGGTCTCCACGGCCCGTGTTGTGTTGGCATCTGCTAGCTTTAAAAACCTCTGGCACAGCTCGGCGGGCACAAAGAGCTGCCGCAAGCCGTTTACCAACGCACCTAATAAAACACATATAATCTCAACTTAATGACAGTTTATGACAATAGTAATTTTTGTATCACAAGGTCAGCAATGCATAAGGAAGAGCAAACTGAGATGCCTCACTGTGTCCTGCACTGACTGGAACACTAGGCTTCAGAGAGCGGTCAAACGCTGGGAGGGGTGAAGTTTGAGAGACATGGTTCGGGGTTCCTCCAGGGGTCGTCGGTGGTGTAAATGAGGCCTGTGGAGGTCCTTGTACATCGGGCACCAGGAGATCTCGGGGAGAGGTGGGTGACTCCGGGACGCTGAACCCCTGCATGATGCGCTGGCGCTCCTTCTCCAGCTGCTGTCTGCGGATCATCTCCTCAAAGGCACTGAACTGCTCCTGCTCACGCATACGCTGCTGCTGCTCGGCCTGTCTCTGCCTCTCGGCCTCCAGATCCCGCTGCTTGGCCACTTCTCGAGCCTGGGCCTCATCCTCCGCTCGCTGCCAGGAGTCACACACCCATCAATAAACACGTACACCATTACTTGGATTAGTTTGTAGGTATCACTTAAGAAAAATCTGCCCCTAAATGTAACCCACCTTTTCGACAAAATATTCAGCATGTTCTTTTTCGTACTGCTTGAGAAGCAGCTTTTTCAGTTCCTCAGCTTTCGGAAAAGCAACTTCCTTTAATTTCTAGCATGGAAAATAAGGGATATTCATTAGCTTGAGAAATTCTTCATGAAGCTTTTAACATCTTAACTTTCCCCAAATCACATCTTACCCTCATCGTTTCTTTCTTCTCAGGGATGTTGGCTGTTTTATATTCACGATGTCTAGGAAGTTTTTCAATGAACAAACTAAAAGGAAGTAAAACACAGGAACATTATTTATTATTTTCAAAATATTGTTTTTTTAAATAATATAATTTTTGAATAAATCTTTATTATTTATATAATATATTACAATATGTAATATTAATATATGAACTTATTTCAATTTTTATTAATAATATTTTTTATATATTTAGTTTTGATATTTAATCAATGTTTATGTCTAGTATATTAAGAAATGTAATTTTAGAAAATAATAAAATCACACAAATCATGGTTTTAAAATGTTAGGAAGTTTTAAATGTCAAGTTTTTCAATAAATGGAAGCAAAATAAGAATATTATGTAAAACTATTTTTAGAATTAAAAAATATAATTTTTTATGAATATATACGTATATTCATAACAATAAAATATCTATTTAATTTTGATGTGTATTTAATGTTTATTTCTAATATATGAAGAAATGTATTTCCAATAAATAGCAAAATCGCTCAAATCTGAGTTTTAAACTATTTACACATCCTAATTTTTTTTTAAATAGGGTTGCAAAAATTGCAAATAAGCTCAGCTTATATAACAGTTAGTTTGACCTCCTGATACTGACGATCAATATTTTATGAAGGTTAAGCACCTCTTTTCACTTATCAATACCTGAAAAAGAAAAAAATATTGACTTCAAGAGTTTCAGGACCTATTTTGTACCGTACTACTGGAAATCACCTTTTACATTAGGAGAGAGAACAGTAGAATGAATCTGATATGTGCAATCAATAACCGACCTGCCAGGCATTTGGCACTTTCAGCCTGTTCTTGCTGTACTTACGTAATGTACTTATTGTAAAGAATGAACGCATGCTCGACATTCCCCTCCTCTGCATAGATGCTGGCCATTCGGATGATTTCCATCCCTGATCGGAAGTACCGGCGCGGCGGCACATCCTCGCTGACGTCCACAGAGCTGCCCAGCTTGGTGAGAGCGCGGACCCTCTCCTCAGACGGCAGACTGGAGTCGCTGTGCTCAGACATCATGCCTCCTGCCTGCAGATCAATAACACACTTTCAACATACTGCACTGAGTTTACACTGTTTGTACGCTGACTAATAAAGCTCCTACTTTGGGTGGAGTTACTTCTATGTAAGGTAATGAAGTTTATACTATAAAAAAGGGTTTTCAAAAAGCATTTGGACACTTTAAAATGTCTGAAAATCATTGCATTAGACATCAAAATATGAAATCAAGTGTTAGTGTAAATGCTAATAAGTGGTGTTATTGTTTTATAAAAAAATAAATAAAACAAATGCCAATGGTTTGATTTTGTTTTCTAATTCATTGACTTTTATACACTGCTAAAATGTCCAAATACTTTATTTTGGGGCCTCCTCTGTATATAATTATTATATATGCATACAGTTGTATATTAATATGTATTATATGTAAATAAGCTGTCGAGACTTCACGATCCTTGACTTTAAACTTTAACTTTGATTTAACTTTAAATGAGTCTGGAGGCACCCATTATTGACAGGCCAACCAGCAACAAACAATGATAGCAAGATAAGCCTCGCATGAAGGTAAAATAACTTCCCTACCTGCTTTCACCGCACTCCTTTACGCTTTCAAAGACACTTTGATGTATTTATCTCATATATTTTCGTCATATTTAGACATTGTGAAAACAAAGCTCGGTGTGTTCACATTAACTGTAATACATAACACTTCCGGCATCGTTTGGAAAGACCCCGCCCACTTCAGTCAGCTGACGATGAAGTCATGCCACAGATTGACCAATCGCGAAGCACTTTTAAGCATTTTTTCAGAGCTTCGCGCTTCTCTCACTATGATGCTTGTATTTTCCGTCAGGATGATGAAACAAATCGAATTTATGTACCGCTACAGTAATATATTAATGCTGTTGCTTTTAATTATGTTTTTACACAGAAATACATTATTTTATATTCTTTTAAATCAACATTTAAATGAACATTTAATGGTTATTTCCAGTGTATCATTGTACTTTTTTAATGTCAATTCAGGGGCGGTTCTAGGGCGAGTAGATACCGGGGCTTAGCCCAGAGACATCCATATATTAGTTACACTGGCTAAGTGGCATTATTATTATTATATATTTTTTTAAGCCAAGTATAGGCCTAATTAAACATGCTGGGGTCTACATTTGTTTAAAAGAAAAAAAATCGCATTTTAAATCGCAAATTGCCATTTTAACCAGAAAAATTACAATTTGATTATTTTCCCCAAATCGTGTGGCCCTACATAATATTTATTTCTTGTTTATTGAATTGTTGCCCTGACAAAGAAAAGTCTGCCACAGACCATGCATGCATGCTAACCAAACTGTTCATATAATCGCTCTAAATGCATGTGTTCATGGAAGCCTGCAGATAATTCTATGATTAAATAGCTATATTTTTTGCTTCAAAGTGACAGTGCTCAGTAACAAATAACAATCAGTATTATAGCGGTAAATTATACAGTATGTTACAGATACCTGAAGCAGCTGCTGCAAGTTTTTATCATTGGCTACTTCTTAATATCTTGTCTTCTAAAATCACAAAAAAGGTTGCATAATTACAAGCGATTGAGCAGATAAACCTTTTATTAAGCTGATCTCAACCTGGGTTCTCTCGGATCACTGAGAACATCTGATCAGTAGACTTGTAGCCTAAATAACAGACCTTACATCAGCCAGAATATTTAAAATGATAAAAAAAAAGAAAGAAATACAAAATGTGTAAAATATAAGGAGATAATAAAACAACTGTAATTGCACTTGCAAAGGTGTTTAATATTTCACTTAAATTTAAAACTAAAGGCATGTTAGATTAGCAGCAGTTATAGATTATGTGTATGAATTACATTTGCTGGATAAAATGACCTAATAACAGATAACCATCACAAAACGTTGTAGTAGTATTGTTAGCTAGTAAAGTCTAATAAAACAGTCAACCTCTTTAGGAGACCAGGACTAGCAGCTGGTGTTCAGAAAAAGCACAGTCCAGCAGTTTGGGTTGAAAGTGTGTAGCCTCCTTCATTTCAGCGAGGAGTCCTATCTTTCGGACCTTTCCTGTGTCTATGTCGAAGTTTTCGGTGAGGCCCTGGAGGTCTCGTGAATCCCTCTGGAGGCGCGTGTGGATTGTGGTATGGTTCGCCGAACCTGTAGGAGGGAAGCGGAGGTGGATAATGTCCGAAGTGCAATCCTCTGACGCTCTGGTTGGGAAAACAGGGTCTCATGCCCTGCGATGGATGAGGAATCAAGGGCGGACAGAAGAACTGGCGCTCAGGTGGTTCGAACCAAGTCATGTTGTCCTTCTGGTGAAACGGTCTGAGGATAAATTGTGAGATTGAGTAAAGAAACAGCTTTATCCAGGAAGAAAGACCATTTTGATTTCATGTTGACTAATGATTTGATTATTTGAGCTTACAAAAACTGATTCTGGGGTTCCCTGTGCCATTGGTGAGGTTCTTGTCCATTAAAAGGAGGATCATGGTTATGCCATTCCCTTCGATGATGAGAAGCATCATCTCGTGGTTCGTTTGCAAGTCCCTGGGCGGGTTCTTGGTCTGGTTCCTCCATTCCCTCATTACTGCATGCAAAATTGAACAGTTAACACTGTAAAACCTGCCATATATAATAAAAGTCCCCAAAAAAAAAAACAATTCAGGTTTTTTTGGCTCATATAGTATGATATAGTGAGAACATGGAGCTATAATGAGGAGGAAAAAAACAACTCAATTTTACAAATAACATTTTGACGAAGTTGCTGATATTTATATGGTCCAAAAGATGAAATTCTGATGGTGTGTAATGTAAATCAATGAGATCTTTATAACAGTATAACAGACTACTCACATAAAATACATATAAATATCAGTTGTCACTCTATATCGCTCAATAAAATGTTTTAGTGAGATTATATTTAAATGCTTAGTTAGTTTTATGATCAAAACACTGTAGTTTTTATTGTGGGAGGCAAAACATGTCCAGTAAATATTTATATATACATATATAAATCAGATGACAGAAGGCTTGTAGTAGATTGTGTACAACAGGTTTTTCAGAAGTTTTGATCATGTTGATAATTTAGAGGCCTTAGAAATTCATGTATCAAATATGATCGAATGTGATGACATGTAGAAGAGCTCACCTTCTCGTGGGCCCTGTCCTCAGGTCATCAAGATAGTTCTGCCTCTCAATTGAATATCCCCTTGATTCATTGAATACTTGGAAGAAATCAGAGCAATCAAATAAAAATACCTAAAAGCATGCAAATACACACAGTAAGTACAAGTGAGTATACTTACAATTAATCGCTTTTTGGGGGTTCATCCCTTCAACATCTATTAGGTATCTATGACACAATATTTAACAGTGACAACTGCTGGATGCACTAGCTCATCTAAAGACAAAGTTAATGGATCACGAATATGGAAAACAAGCAAAAAGAAAGTAATTTTACTCACCGACATATTAAATAGCCGGTGCGATTCAAACCGTGCGTGCAATGAACACCAATCAGTTTATCTGTTTAAAAAAAGTCCGTATTTTTTGTTAAACAAACGTCAGCTGAACTCAACATGAAACAATGTTTGCAACCTAATTTACTTCTGTAATGACATATTTCTCAGTGAATATTAGGATATTAAACATTAGGATGGGATATTTAAAAAAAAAAAGTTTTTGCATTTTGATGAGCATTATTTCTCTTTGGAATAACATGCATTGATGAATTGTTCACTATAAAGCCAGTAAGTTTGCGGTCAAAAAGAAATTAATAATTGTATCCACCAAGGATGCATTAAATTAATCAAAAGTGACATTTATAATGTTACAAAAGATTTCTATTTCTTATAAATGCTGTTCTTTTGAATTTTCTATTCATCAAGGAATCCTGAAATCCATAAAAATATGAAGCAGCACAACTGTTTTCAACATTAATAATAATAATAAATGTTTCATGAGCAGCAAATCAGCATATTAGAATGATTTCTGAAGGATCATGTGACACTGAAGATTGGAGTAATGATGCTGAAAATTCAGCTTTGCATTACAGGAATATAAAATATATTCAAATAGAAAACCTTTATTTAAAATTGTAATATTATTTCACAATTTGACTTTTACTGAATCAAATAAATGCAGCCTTGGTAAGCTTAAAAGACTTCTTTCAGGAATATTAATCAAATCTTACCAAACGGTAGGGAATTAAGAAAGCCATTTTTGATTTCACATTGATTTAATCAACTAAAACTCACCATTGTTTTCATTGTCATGCAGAAAATGTCTGACGGCCTTCTTGAAGCTGAGAATCGTGGCATCGTTTGGCACTTCATGCCCTGCTGTGAAGATCTTCAAGTGGTACAATGTGTTTGGCAAATCCTGACACAAACACAATCACACATTCAGAGAAAATCAGTCCATCAACTTCCCTCAACCCTGACAAAAACTCAAGCTCCAACCTAGTCAAGCAAGGAGGAGATGTCTACACTTTCATGAGTAAAAAATATGATTAGCTATTTGTTTAGGCTTTAATTCCTACCTCTACTTTGTAGTAGCGAGTTGTGTAGGTCAGATCAATGATGAGACCCAGTTGTTGTCCTTCCTTCTCTAAAATACGCACAAGATCAAACGGTCCAAAGGCTTCTGATTGTGTTAAATGATATCTGAAAGACTTTTTAAAAAAAAGCACTGGAATGAAATCTAAGCTCATATGCAGGTTTCAAACAGGTGGAGGATTTGTGAATGTCTTCAAACCTGTCTTAAGGGAACTTTAAAAGCGATGAAGCGAGTTCCAGGGACCCGTTTACCCACTGCTGTATAGTCTGTCCATCTAAAGGAGACAAAACAATCCTTAAAGCTTTACTTCAGTTAATGAACCTTATAAAATAAGTAAAATGATAAAAACTAACCTGTCAGGAATGGCATTTTTCTTCTTGAAAGGCATGTCTTCACAGCAGCTCTGCTTTGGCCTTTGTAATGCCATACACTTTTGCAAAACACAGATATATTTGATTACATCCCATACATGACTGACTATTGTAAGCAGAATTCGTACAGCTTTAATGAACACCAAAACATCAACTATTTATGAATGAGTTTGATTACGTGTCAGATATGAGAGTTACATCAACCAGAATCAGACACTGGTTTCACTTTCAGTCATTACCAGAGCCAACTTCATTTAACATTCAGTCTTTATAAGCGTGTTCAAGCCTCGTATTCCGTCACGACAAATATTATAATGAAAAACAATAAAGAATGACACATTTTACTGAAAAGTAAACCAATACCTCTGTGAGATTCTCCCACTTCCACGTTACCGACACAGTCGTGTGGGCAACTCATCTGCTCGGGAACTGCGCGCTCTGCTGCCGCCCTCAGGCCGGGAGGGAAAACTGCAACCCAACCACAACTGTACTGAATTATGGGTGGCACTTCCGGTTTGGGGAACTTCTATTCAAAAAAAGACTGAAACGAATTATTTCATATCATAAGGTTGGCCCACAGATAAAGCTTATCAGTCTGTTTGACTGAATGAGCATGAACATCATGAATAAATTGACGCTTGGTATTTTAAGGTGACATGTTATAACTATAATATCTATGTCAAGAGCTCTTTTCAGTCACTGCATTCTTTTCCTCATTATTATTTTCTTTTTCCCCTTTGCATTCCGCTGTAATAGTATGGAAAACAAATTAACTAATAGTATGTTAACCAGTGTTAGGCTTGTTACTCCAAAAATGTAATTTATTACTCGTTACTAGTTCCTCCTTTCAAAATTAATATTATTACTTTACTTATTACTATCTGGCAACAGACATTTGTTACACTACTAGTTACATTACTTTTCCTTCACGCCCCACAGAAGTAATTGTGTACCTTCCCCATAAAATTCTTCTAAAATGTTACTAACAATATATTTCTGCCTCATCTTTTGACCAACATCTACATTGGATCACAGTCAGAAGTTTTTACAAATACTCAATGGTGATTGATAGTGACTTTTAAGTAAACGTGTTGCATTAATTGTCATGTGTAGCTTGAAGCTAATTGTTGCTATCTGTTACCCAAATATGATTATATTTCATGAAGTAGCCTATTTTCTCAAAAGAAATCACATAAGTTCATAAGATTTTTAATTATAGTAATATCATTTATATTGGGATCAGAGGGATGTGGGTGGGCAAGCCATGTAATGGTACAGTAAAGTAATGCCACAACTTACACATCTGTGTTCAGATGACCTTCTCTCCTGACAAAATCAGTGTAATGGCAATATTTCCATCCGCTGAATGTAAGCTTTTCCATATTCCAAGCTTTCCTGATGCACTGGTGACTACATGTGCCTGTGCAAGTCGTGAAAATTATGAAAATAAATCTAGGAATTATTGGATTGTTGGATTTCAAATCAGTAGGGGTTGAAGATATGAGAGTTACATCAACCAGAATCAGACACTGGTTTCACTTTCAGTCATTACCAGAGCCAACTTCATTTAACATTCAGTCTTTATAAGCGTGTTCAAGCCTCGTATTCCGTCACGACAAATATTATAATGAAAAACAATAAAGAATGACACATTTTACTGAAAAGTAAACCAATACCTCTGTGAGATTCTCCCACTTCCACGTTACCGACACAGTCGTGTGGGCAACTCATCTGCTCGGGAACTGCGCGCTCTGCTGCCGCCCTCAGGCCGGGAGGGAAAACTGCAACCCAACCACAACTGTACTGAATTATGGGTGGCACTTCCGGTTTGGGGAACTTCTATTCAAAAAAAGACTGAAACGAATTATTTCATATCATAAGGTTGGCCCACAGATAAAGCTTATCAGTCTGTTTGACTGAATGAGCATGAACATCATGAATAAATTGACGCTTGGTATTTTAAGGTGACATGTTATAACTATAATATCTATGTCAAGAGCTCTTTTCAGTCACTGCATTCTTTTCCTCATTATTATTTTCTTTTTCCCCTTTGCATTCCGCTGTAATAGTATGGAAAACAAATTAACTAATAGTATGTTAACCAGTGTTAGGCTTGTTACTCCAAAAATGTAATTTATTACTCGTTACTAGTTCCTCCTTTCAAAATTAATATTATTACTTTACTTATTACTATCTGGCAACAGACATTTGTTACACTACTAGTTACATTACTTTTCCTTCACGCCCCACAGAAGTAATTGTGTACCTTCCCCATAAAATTCTTCTAAAATGTTACTAACAATATATTTCTGCCTCATCTTTTGACCAACATCTACATTGGATCACAGTCAGAAGTTTTTACAAATACTCAATGGTGATTGATAGTGACTTTTAAGTAAACGTGTTGCATTAATTGTCATGTGTAGCTTGAAGCTAATTGTTGCTATCTGTTACCCAAATATGATTATATTTCATGAAGTAGCCTATTTTCTCAAAAGAAATCACATAAGTTCATAAGATTTTTAATTATAGTAATATCATTTATATTGGGATCAGAGGGATGTGGGTGGGCAAGCCATGTAATGGTACAGTAAAGTAATGCCACAACTTACACATCTGTGTTCAGATGACCTTCTCTCCTGACAAAATCAGTGTAATGGCAATATTTCCATCCGCTGAATGTAAGCTTTTCCATATTCCAAGCTTTCCTGATGCACTGGTGACTACATGTGCCTGTGCAAGTCGTGAAAATTATGAAAATAAATCTAGGAATTATTGGATTGTTGGATTTCAAATCAGTAGGGGTTGATGTATCAAAAGTAACTAGCTGTTTTATGGATGGTAACTGTAATATTATTACTGAAATCTTATTAGTAATTAGTTACACTACTAGTTACTGCAAAAAGTAATATTATTACAGTAACTAGTTACAGCCCAACACTGATGGTAACAAATTAACTATGGTTTTACTACACTAACCATAACCATGGTATTTTAGTTAAACTGTTGTTATACAAATTGTAATCAATATGCAAAAAAAATAAAAAATAATAATGGTTACTTCACTTTTATTAGAATAAAGCCATTGTTATTTTTGAAAGGGAAGTTACTGTTATGTGCACACTTGACTACACATTCAAATATAGGCTATCACAAATTCATTGATAATGGTCCTTAATGATCCTTGAGGCTTTGCTTTGTGTGTTTTGGCAGATTATTTTGCATACACTGTAAAAAATGACCGTGAATTTAACGGTAAAAGACTGTAAAAATGCTACAGTAAAAACCTGTTAAATGGTTAACGGTAAATTCCCCTACTATATACGGTGAAAAACTGTATTGGACATTACATGTATTGGACATTAATTTTACAGTAGTATACCGTTTTTGGAAGTGAAAAAAGGAATTGACATTCCCAGAATTCCCTGCGTTACATTTCAAATTTGATGTTTTTTTGGTTTTCTTCTTAGTTTTTTCTTCGTAGTTTTGTATATTAGGGTTGTGTGTTACACCTAATGTACAAAACAGATTTCAGTACTTCAATAGGTTGGACCGTAAATTTTACGGAATTTTTTTTACAGTGTACATTTCACTCGCGTGTTATGAAAAGATCAAACACGATAAACATGGTAGATGAATGAAGTCGATTTTTGTAACAAAACATACAATTATAAGTGGGATTTCTGATAAATGATACATAACACTTAATTAATTCTGTAGGGATTTTTGGTCTTGAATGACACAAGAATTGATAGCATTCATTGTAACAAAAGATCGTTTATTTCTTGATGTACAAGTTCAAAGTATTGCCATCAATATACACTAAATACTTTAACCATACTTTCTTCTTTATGTGTGTGTGTAAATCTGTTTTTAGTCGTAACTAAATGTACTTTCACACGTTTATGAGAGCAAACATGAATAAAGATGGAGTAACTGCCTCTGAACATTATTTTGAGTAACTTAAAAATGATGAGTAAACGAAGTATTTGAATACTATCTATGGTAGAAGAATCAGGAATTAAACTCGTGCAGGAAACACTTGGGTGTTACTTAGGTAGACAGACATATAAGTACAGACATTCTTTTTAAGTTTGGAAGAGGAAAGCTGCAATGTACGTAATCGGAATGTTTCTCTGGAGCTATGCATTCCACCTTTGAACTTGTGACTACCATAAATGCTAATTTAATTTTCTGACTTTGGTTGGTTTCAAACAGTTTGATACACTTTATTCATTATAATATCTGTTGGCCAAAACAATGCTTTGTTATTTTAGTATGTTAACTTTTGATAATTGTTCAGTACAGATGAGGTAAGTTGTTCTGAACATTATTTAGAGCAACTTTAATGCTAAATGAACTCTGACAGTGGGAATTATATTCTTATATACCAGGAAAGATTTGGGTAGACAGATAGATAAGAGTGAGGAAGTCTGAGACAAGGGGGATACAGTGTGAAATTTTGTCATAAGGAAAATTGCTCTGAAAATATGCATGCCACCAAACCACACGTATCCAGTTTATTCTAACTGCGAACTCCATTATGTCTTTCAATTAAACTGAATATAATATTAAAAATAATTTAAAACAAATTTATTTATTCTTAATTAAAATAAAAATGAGACCGGGACTAGTCGTCAGACACAAGGGCTGTAACTATAAAGTTTCAAGTCAGAAGTGATTTTGACACAAATATTAAATTTTTGTAATATCGGTTCCAGTTTTTCAGTCACACTTAACTTGGCTAAACTGTCCACTTGAGTTTTATATGTAGTAATTGCATACTCCAAGTTTGCCAAAAACAAAACAACATAAAAGTGCTTCAGAATTTTTGTAAAATTTGTCGAAAACCCACATAATTGACTATTTAATGCAAGTTCCCATTGTGACAATTTACCACATATAGTGTTGCAACATAGTTTGGTCAGTATGTTAAAAGAACTCAATAGCCTTTTTGTTGCCAAGATGTTACACTAAAAAAATTGGCGTAGGATTTACGAAACAAAGTTCACTTATAGAAATTGCTAGTCATTTTCACAAAAAACTACAAAAGAAAAGGCATGTAACATTGAATTAAACGAAGTTTTTAAGCAGAAAGACTGAAATTGTATTTTCTCGTAAAACAGACTCCAATCATCTTTATTTTCTTTGAAAACTCTTTTTTTTACAGCGTGCCTATAAACAGAGATTAATTTCAAAAAAAGTAATCATCATAAAAGTAAACATTAACTGGATCTTCCCAACATGTTCTATTATTGATTTCAATTGAAATTCACCAGTCTGCTTCCTCACAAAAATCTTGCAAGAGTAAATACCTAAAAAGCACCTGAAAGGTTTATTCCCTTTTAGGTTAGCAGACATTGAAGTTATTTGAGTTGTATAATCACAAAGGAGATGACACAAAGGTATTGCCTAAGAGCGACATTCTCCATAAATGGCAAGTAACTTAGGGCTGGACTAGTATATATGCAGGCAGACGCCTTAACGGACTCGTGCAGCTTATTCAGATACAAATCGATTGCACTGAAATTCAGAGTTTGACAGAAGAGAAAATCATGTCTTTTTGTAAATTTCCTTTCACAGCTGACAAGAGAATGAAGAACAGGGCGTTGATAGTGTCTGTGGAGAACTTCTATTCAGGTGCAGATCTGAGCAAGAGGAACGGGGTGAAGAGAGACACTAGAAGACTTCACAAAATCCTCACCAAGCTCGGCTTCTCTGTGGACATCAGAATGGACATCGACGCTAATGAGATCTATGAAGCATTTAAAGCAGGTAATGTGAGCACATCTTTGATGTACTGACATTTTGTCTAATAAAAGACTAAATAATAAAAGATAAAATCTACAATCTATGAGTTTGCATGGAAGAGATTTTGCCATTATGCAAACCTGCAGAAAGTTATGACTGCAGATAATCACAATAGCCTAAATTTTAATAGTAATGACAGAAATGAAACTTGCGCAGCCCATTCAGATTACTCACTAACACTGTCCTCCATCCTCAGAGAGCAAGAAGACGGTCAAAGACTGTTTTGTGGGCGTCATATCCAGTCACGGTGAGGAGGGTGTTGTGTTTGGCGCCGATGGACGTGCTGTGAAACTGGCAGAGATCTACAGTTACTTTGGAGGCCCGTCAATGGCAGACAAGAGCAAACTCTTCCTCATCCAGGTACATAAAAAATAAATAAAAAATAAAAAACGTACTCACAGTTGTTATAACATTCCGGATTTAAATTCCTTTGACTTTCTGGCACTATTCAGTCATTTTAGACCGAAAAATGTTATGTTTTGAATTTTTTACATCGCTTTATTCATTGGTCATTGGAATAGTACGAAACTATGTGAATACCAGTGTTATTTTACTATCATTGAGATATTATTATAGTTTTCATTAATACTTTGAATCAGTTTTTATATTTTGTCATTTTAATTTTTTTATTTAAAAATTGGTAATTAAAAAAAATCAGTAATAGAAATAATTTTTTTTTAGTAATTTTGTTTATTTTTCTTTTTGTTATTTGAGTACATCAAGTCAAACTGACAAGTGCTGCCTTAGCAATTTTATTTCAGTTAACTTTTAATTTATTTCAAGTAAATAAAATAAGTTGTAGTTTCAGCTACAATAACCCTGGTGAACCAACAAAAAATTGTGGACATGATTTGAAATGTCTAAAAAGCAAAAAAGGTCTCTTGGGCTCGTCATGGTCAAAAATGACCACCATAGGAAATGAATGAGAAATACGAAAATATAGAGCTTTTTTGTGTGTGTGGGTTTTCTCCCACAGTTGTTAAAAATGTATTGAATGTCTACTCACCAAATAAATACAAACGTTGAGTTTAAATTTGTTACAGATTTTAACAGAACATTAACCTTCTGGTGTTCAGGCTTGTCGAGGGCATGAGTTGGATGGAGGTGCGAAGGGGGAGGCAGATTCTTCATTCTCAGAGGAAGAGGACGGCATGTCTGAGCTCTTTTCCATTCCTATTGACACAGCAGTCATGTACGCCACATCTCCAGGTGTGACTTATTAACTCCAGAACATTGTTTGCATAGTTTGTAAAGTCACAAACACTTCAGCTCCTCACTCACGTACGTTCATTCGTGTTCTAGGTTACGCTGCATTCATGCATCCTCTGGGCTCGGTGTTGATTCAAACCCTCTGTGATTTGCTAGAAAATGAAGGAGGTCCAGAGCTGGAGATCACAAGACTTCTGACTCGACTAAACTACCAGGTGGCCTACAACTTTGAATCCAGAGGGAAAGTGTTGGGCGGCAAAAAGCAGATGCCATGTTTTGTGACCCGCTTTACCAGAGAGGTTTTCCCATTCATGGACAGTCAGACGGCAGCAGCAGAAGATTTGAGCTTGACCTTTGCAGCAACGCAGCTTATCGATGAACCCAGAAGGACACGGAAGAGCTCCATCAGCTGAAGATCGCAGAACAGAGACTGACTGCAAAGAACATGTGGACATGTTAGATATCATCTCATTTGATGAGATAACATATAATCACGTAAAGTTGCATCGGTAATAGGAAGTAAGGTGCTGGGAAACGTGCAAGATGTGACTTGTTTTATAATGCTGTGTTTGCTACTTCCTTGTATTTATTTTCCTAAAGTAAAACAGTCATATTCTGTTCTATTTGAACGTGTATTGAAAAAAATGAAATATAAAAAAATATATTTATATATAAATCTTAAAGTGTTTATCTGTATTATTCTGTATGTGATATTCAAATAAAACCTAAACTGAACTCGAAAGCTCAATGTCTTACTAAATTCAAAAATCAATCAGTGTTGCAAAGGCATTTTAATGAAACACCATTTCTGGGAAACACTTGTGTTATGATAATCCTGATCCTGTGCTGACTGTATGCGAAACTAGTTTCTGTGACTCAGATTACGACATATTCATACTTTGCCCTTGCTATATTTACTGTACTTGTAAGTGTGAAGTGTTTGTTAAACACTCTGTACTTTTGCAAGTGCTCAAATGATGGGAGTTGACAGCCAATCCAGACATGCAGGATTTCAACATGGCCTGTTGGTCACAAACACTAATGCCAGGTTTCATTTAGCTGTCTATACAGTGATGACTATTATTTGTGCTTATGAGATGTTCAGTATGCTAACTGCATGGCTTAAACTAGTGTTTAGTCATTCTTTGCACTCAGGTGCTCTTTTATAAATTAATAATGACTGCAAAAGGAGTTTGAACATTTTGGCTCCCAATGATGAGACATAGAAGTCGTTGAAAATATTACAGTAACCAGAACTGGTGAAAATAAGAATGAAAATGAGATACAAAAAGAAAAATAAAGAAGCATTAAACCATGTCTGGTATGCAAATAACACAAACTGATATAGAGTAAAGTATCTGGTGATTCTCATCCTACCGGAACTACCAGAATGACGGTGCAATACTTATCTGTGAGCATGAGAGACGTGCATCGTTTTACAGAACTGAAGTACTTCTTGACGTGAAGGATCAGAACACACTGTACTTTATCATGAACGGCAGACATCAGTACTAACAAGCCATCTGCATGAAGTCTACTTACAGTTTTACATTCATAAAGGATAAGCAGGTACTGATAAACATCTAAAGGCCCAAACAGTTCAGCTGATATGAAAAACAAGATTTGTTGTGTCATAAAATGAATACTTTTTTGTGATAGTTTAAATAATGTGGTGAGAAAAATTGCTATAAATTAGTCTATAAATTAAAAACTTATTATTATTTTTATAATTATGACTAAAATAATGCCTACCCTGAAAAAAAATATTATTATTATTATTATTAATAAATTGACACTGACAGTATTATTTAAAGTCATAAAGAGACCATAAAGTCATCCTCTACCAGGAGGTGCATGTGAGAAATGAAATTCTGCCACATTGAAATTTAATTTCTCTATTTTTTCTCTTTTTTTTTAAATTGAAAAACTATACATATTTAAATCTGTTGATGACAAGAAGTGGCGCCTTACAAACAAGTGGAAAGTCCACACTTTATAAAAAATATTTCAAATTGCCAAATCCAACGTAGGCCTAACACATATGTGACAACACCATGTTCTTCTTCAGCAGCGGTCTAAACAATCATTTACATGTTGAAAACTGATTTACAATTTGAAAACTGGCACTGAGAAACTTGAAAAGCTATTGATACAAAGTAAACACACAAAATAAGAAAAGCACGTCATCTTTCTTTATGCTAATTATCACTGTGTCCTTTAGCCTTCCCTGTGGTACAGTAGATGAAGTACAGAACTTCTGTGGGAAGAACAGGATTGCAGAAATCATTTGAAGCTGACACAATGTTGAGCTGCAAATCATGCTGTCTGTCTACTGTGTACATACATATCCACCCTTCCTCGGAGCAAATAAAGGTGTGCGATCTCACCCTAAAAGCTTTTGGAAAAATGAATATAGGCCTATGTTAAAACTAATACATATACATATATATATATATATATATATATATATATATATATTCTGATTTGTCAGGGAACTGCTGGTGTTGTGTAGATCAGACTGATGACACAGAAAATGCTGGGAGGAAACTCCATATATGCAATAAGACGTGACGAGGCTCATAAAAGCTGGACTCACCTGTTATATGATGCTCAGACAGACTCATAAAGTAGGCTCTCCTTATTCACACACAGATCATACTGCATTAGACCTGTGTTTGATAGAAGAGCGGTAATGATGATGTCTTGTAAATTTCCTTTCACAGCAAACAAGAGAATGAAGAACAGGGCGTTGATAGTGTCTGTGGAGAACTTCTATCCAGGTGTGGGTCTGAACAAGAGGAATGGTGCGAAGAGAGACACTCGAAGACTTCACAAAATCCTCAGCAAGCTCGGCTTCTCTGTGGACATCAGAATGGACATCGACGCTAATGAGATCTATGAAGCATTTAAAGCAGGTAACAATATTTAGTCTAATGATTTAAAAACAAATCAATTTCTTTCCAAGCAGAATTCATGTTTCATTTCTTCAATGCTTTTTTTCCTCTCTGGTTTCTTAAAAACACTTTACATAAGGTCATTTATTGGTGCCAAAGTCCCATGCTTGTTAATAATACTGTCCTCATTTATCAGCAAACACAGATTAAACACAATTTACCTCTGGCACAAACTCTTTTAACTTGAGGAGTTGAATCACAATTTGATTTTGCTATGATCAGAATGAGTGAATCATATGAGCAATAAAACTACTAGTCAGTGACTAAAAGTCACACAAACTGAAATCTGGACATATGATACACAATATGAATGGAAGAGATTGTGACCTCATAAACCGCATAAATAGGAACAAATGAGCTCAAAAAAAGAACACATGCAGAATCTGTCCATTATATTAAATTTCACACCACCACTAACTTGAACTAATTCTATGTCTTTCATCCTCAGAGAGCAAGAAGACGGTCAAAGACTGTTTTGTGGGCGTCATATCCAGTCACGGTGAGGAGGGTGTTGTGTTTGGCGCCGATGGACGTGCTGTGAAACTGGCAGAGATCTACAGTTACTTTGGAGGCCCGTCAATGGCAGACAAGAGCAAACTCTTCCTCATCCAGGTACATTTTGTGAAAACTTTCTCACAGACAAACTCCTCTGACCTTTTTAGCAAATATTGATGGCTGTGATGATTACATCCCACTTTAGAATTCCTTTGATTCTCTGGTACTATTCAGTCATTTTAAGCCAAAAAATGTTGTGAATTTTTATTTTTATTCATCAGAATGGTATGAAACTTTGTCACATTTGTGGCAATTGTTATGTGAACACACAAAAAAAATTGTGGACATGACTTGAAAAGGCAAAAAAAAAAAGTCACACTTTACTGTTCACATGACTGCCAAAGGAAATGAAAGGGAAATATACAGCATTTTGGGGGGTTTCTCTCTGATTATTGCATGGCTACTCACCATATAAATGCATGCATGGATGTTAAATGTTGATTTAAGTTGATATTATTTCATTATTTGACCTGTATATTTTTCTTAAAGCTTGAAACTTGTTGCAGATCATAACTGAATGTTTATAATTAACATAACTTCTGGTGTTCAGGCTTGTCGAGGGCATGAGTTGGATGGAGGTGCGAAGGTGGAGGCAGATTCTTCATTCTCAGAGGAAGAGGACGGCATGTCTGAGCTCTTTTCCATTCCTATTGACACAGCAGTCATGTACGCCACATCTCCAGGTGTGACTTATTAACTCCAGAACATTGTTTGCATAGTTTGTAAAGTCACAAACACTTCAGCTCCTCACTCACGTACGTTCATTCGTGTTCTAGGTTACGCTGCATTCATGCATCCTCTGGGCTCGGTGTTGATTCAAACCCTCTGTGATTTGCTAGAAAATGAAGGAGGTCCAGAGCTGGAGATCACAAGACTTCTGACTCGACTAAACTACCAGGTGGCCTACAACTTTGAATCCAGAGGGAAAGTGTTGGGCGGCAAAAAGCAGATGCCATGTTTTGTGACCCGCTTTACCAGAGAGGTTTTCCCATTCATGGACAGTCAGACGGCAGCAGCAGAAGATTTCAGCTTGACCTTTGCAGCAACACAGCTTATCGATGAACCCAGAAGGACACGGAAGAGCTCCATCAGCTGAAGATCGCAGAACAGAGACTGACTGCAAAGAACATGTGGACAAACTGATTCATCTTAAAGGGGTCATATGATGCGATTTCAAGTTTTCCTTTCTCTTTGGAGTGTTACAAGCTGATTGTGCATAGATCGAATTCATCTTCCAAACCGCGTTTTTGTCCTTATTCCGAATCACTACGGTACACTTATAATAAGTACTTATATTTAGCTCTTCTATAACATCTGATGTGATGTGCTTTCTTAGCATTCCATTTGTCCATTTATGTTTTTTTTGCTATTGCTACCTCATTATGTATATATTCTACTTATTCTTTCTATACACTACTGTTGAAAGGTTTGAGGTCATTAAAATTTGTAATGCTTTTGAAAGAAGTCTCTTCTGCTCACCAGTTGGCTGTATTTATTTGATCAAAAATACAATAAAACTGTAATATTATTAAATATAATTACTATTTAAATAACTGATTTAAATCATATGATTTTAATTGATATATTTTTTATTATTATAAAATATTATAACTATTCTAATATACTGATTTGGAGCTCAAAGGACATTCTTATTGCTATCAATGTTGAAAACAGTTGTGCTGCATAATTTTTTATTTTTTTTGGTGGTGGTAACCATTATACATTTTTTTCAGTATTCCTTGATGAATAGAAAATTCAAAATAACTTTTTATAATCTTTTGTAACATAATAAATGTCTTTACTGTGACTTTTGATCAATTCAGTGTGTACTTGTTGAAAAGTATTAATTTCTTTTAAAATGCAAATGAAAATAATTACTAATCCAAACTTTTGATGTAGTAATCAAAACAACCATTTGAATAATTTAAGTTTGAATTATATAAATACTGACATAGGTTTTGCTAGTGATAAACATTCTTAGAATTCTTGAAACAATGTTAAACTGTTGAATCTTAACGCAATGTTAAAACAACGTTGAAGCTTAACAATGTTAAAATTCTTCTACTTTTTAAATGTGATGAAATATGGAAGTGCGATGACTTGCTAGACATAACTGACCTAAATTAGAAAAAAATAAAATAATAAAAAAATCAAGCAACTGTGTTTAGTGTCAAAAAGAACACATTTAGATAAGGTCTGATGCAACTGGCATTTGATTGAATTCCTGATGATTCAGGAGAGAACTAATATCATTAAAAAAAAGATGATCACATGCTGTTTGAGTTAAAAATAAAACTGAAAGGTTCAGCTGTCTGTGACTCAGATTAAGTAATCATAATCATACTTTGCCCCTGTATATTTACTGTAACTGAAGGTGTGTACACAGGATATTGCACATGAATGAATGAATGAATGAATGTGAAGTGACAGCAGATCCAGGCATGCAGGATTTCATCAGTGCACACAGCCTGCTGAGCACAAATGTTGATGTCAGGATCTATATGAATATATTTCACTCAAGAACACTGAAGGGTTTTTGCTCATTTGAATGAACGCAGATGAACAGTTTCTATGCTTCAGGAGTTAATTGTGTTTTTAGTTATGATAATTGCAAACAATAAAAAACGTGAAGATGTATTCTGGTTTAATCGTCTCATCAGAAATGTACACAAAAATATATAAACCTGAATTGACTGCTGTAGGTGCCCATTGTCACAGTTTACCACGCTACACAAAAAGTCAAAGTGTGTTCAGTGAATTGTATATTTCGTTTTGGGCAACAACGGTGAAAACAGTTTTTTTGTAATCAAGACTTCAACGTGTGTCTATACAGAAACAAAAATTCACAAAAAAAACCTACCGCGACAAATATTCCCAGGAGTTTGACAACTAGCCCCAGTCTCCTCTATACAGTATATATTGCATAGACATAATAAATACCTAGACTCCTCATTGGCCGCTCGACCGCACGTCAACGTCGCCGCCATCGTTACAAAGGGATCTTAAGACAACATCGCCATCTACTGGCAGAAACCTTTAACTCTACTGACCGACACCAGTGTGATATTTATGTCTGCCACTAGAGGGCGGTGTCGCAGTACACCTATATTAATTCCTCACTCATGTTACAACTTAGAAGACCACATTGTTCTTGTTGGATCCCTTTATCTGTCTGAAGCACGGATATTAATTTTAATTTTATCGCACGGGTATTAATTTTAATTTTACACTCAGTGGTGTTCAAAGCTATACGGCAATGCTATATATTTCATAGTTTAATGATATTCTGGATTTTTTTTTTAATTAATTTTTAATTTTCGTTTACATCTGACACACTACATTCTTATATTAGGTTAGGCCTACATAATTGTTACATAATCGGCATAATTCTGAGCTTATGGATTCCTATATGAAATAAATGACTAAAAAACATACTTTGGGGGTTAAAAATATCGATACTGCGATGTGATACGGAAGTAAACAGTATGGTACACCGAGCCATGTAGTCTATCTATATTATAGCTATCAAACGTATTTATCATATGTCGTGGTTTTACCATCTGATGCCATCACATACAAAACAAAATCAAGGAGCCAGTTTCATAGCATTAAACACAGCTTTGCAAAACAGTGACTGAATGCAACTTAAAGCCATTCTTAGCACCTCAAGTGTTTCCTGGTCAACTCTCCCTTAGTCTGGACTGTCATTTTTACTCACCACAACAACCACAATGAACTGTGCTGGTCATCTCGTAATTATGGGCTTCAGCAGTTTCCTTGAGAGCGGACCCATATCCTCCTGGGACCCAGGCATTGACTTCTGTCCTCTGTAGAGGATATTATATTTCAGTGAATTTCTCTGAGACCCTACTACTACCAGTTTTCAGTCTGGATGTCCTGTACAGAGCACACTCAGGGCTTTTCAGAGATATCAAATGTTTGGAGGTTTGATCATAAACACTCCCTCTCCTTGGTCTTCAAATATGACTGATATCGACAGAATGATCAAATTTAGCACTCTTAGGGAAATATGATGATGTTTTGTAATTATCATTTAAATCTGGCTAAACTTGTTTGTCGTAAATAAATAGCTCAGAAAAATGTTATGGAGTTTCAGATTGGAATATGACTTTTTGTTACAAAGCAGGGCATTATTTTCATACATGTCTTCTGTAGAGGACACCAGGACAAACGGCATGTTAATCAGGCATTGTAGGGAGACACAACAAGTCAATATATAGGGAAAGAAATTATAGATTAATATTCCTATGAAATATGAGATATTCTTATGAAAATGTTGCACATTTATTACTCCCATTATAACACTTCTTTTTCATTGTGGTTTTTACGCACACATTGCATAAAGTAAAGTAGTATACCAAATCATTCTGTTATATCTTTCATAAATCAGTTGGGAATCATCTTTGTACAAAGTTTGGTTAAAAATAGCCTGAAACTTAAAAACTGATTGGTGAATGAAAACATAAAACATTGTTTTTGCCTATACATGCCTTTTCATGTCTATATATATATATATATATATATTTTTTTTGTAATAACTTAGTTCTGGCATCCTCTACAAAGGACAAAAAATAAAATATATTATTTTCAAAAAAGATTAGGGGTAAGTGGGGGTGGTGGGTCCTGCCCTCCGGTTTGGTGGTGAGGGACAGGGGTTGAGCCTGCTCCGAGTGAGTGGCAGCAGGGGCCGCCGGTGACGCCAGGGCAGCGGACGGTGTGGCGGGCGAGTCCAGCATGCTGCCGTGAGAGGAGGTAGGGCTGTCACACATTTTCTCAGATGGCAGGTACGGGACGCACTGCTTCTTGAGCTGGGGTGAGAAGTTACCTGTAGATGAGGGGGAAACAGGGTTAAATATACTCCCAAATAGTCTGTTAACAAATGGCGAATGAAAACAAAACACTGTTTATGGTTAAATACATACGGTTTGAATTAAATGTTTAAACATTTAATTGAGTAATTATTCTTGCTTTTTTTTAATCAAATAATTTTAGATGCCATTTCAGTCAAAAATTGACCAACATTAATGATTATGACATGAAAAAAATAGTGACAAAATTTAAAGGTTATTTTCATAAAAATACAAAAACTGACTAAAAACTACTAAAAATAACTCCCATTTGCTCCCAAATTACTTCAAACACACACCCACACAAATAATAATAAAAAAATGTATTCATACGGATTTGGAAAAACATGAGAGTGAGTAAATGAACTATTCCTTGAAAAAAAAAGAAGAAAAAAGCCAAAATGTTCGTCATCTAGCTTCTAAGGTCAAAATTGAACTGAACATGATCTATGAGCTGAGTGATTGGACCAACAGGGATGCTGGGGGAAAAAAAGCTCAAGTTCAGCGAAAGATCATGCATACAGAAAGTGAGAAAGAAATACTGATGGCCAGTGACACTTACTCTCTTGTGGGGAATCAGGTTTATTGTCTCTCTTCCTTTTCTTCCTCTTTCCCTGCGGACAGACATGATTTGGAGCAAATTAGATGTGTTTGATTAAGCAAAACTCCCCTGGCTGCCAAAAACAATGGAGGAATCCGAACCCCACATGATTTGCATTAAACTCTGTATTCTGGGCTCACTTACGTAGTTGTCTCGCGCAGACCAGCCCGGATAAAGCTGAGAGTGCAGCTGTCGTTCTTTTCTGGCGAGTTCATAGTATTTGGCCTGTTCCTCACGTGAAAGAGAGTGCCACTGCGGAATAAAAGAATGGTCAAATTTCCCTCCTTTTTTCATTCCTTAAAGGGATAGTTCACCCAAAAATGCACATTTTGATCATTTACTCACCTTCATGTCATTCCAAACCATCATGTACAAAAGGAAAAATTTCAGAAGCATGCAAGTCATACGGACTACTTTTACTATGCTTTTGCATCCTTTTTTGACGTTTGATAGCTTCAGTGCTTATTCGTTGTAATTGCATGGAATAGAGCGACCAGCACAATCATCATGATATCTCCTTTTGTGCTTCATGTGGGTTTGGAATGACATGAGGGTGAGTAAATGATGCCAATTTTCATTCTTAGGCGAACCGTTCCTTTAAGACAAGATGAAGAGAACACTAATGCATCTCAGCTCCTCTCATAATGGAATTGTAAGCGCTCACCCTCCTGCCCAGGATC